ATGACATGTGTTGTGAATTGGCGCTATATTAATAAACTGAATTGAATATCTGCAGACATGTCTGTCTACATCTAGTTTCAATGCTAAATAAAATAAATAAGGGGCATCCTAAGAATGGTACAACTGTTCACATTCTTAACCTGATCATCCTGGTATCATTTATGGTTGCATTTGCTTTAGAAAACTCTGCAAACCTGAGGAAAAGAGACTGAATAGAAACCAGTGAGCAGAAAACAGTACCTGGATCTGTTCGGAGGTCCATTGGTCCAGGTTGACTGATTTGACTCTGGATATGTGAACCCCCAGGTTCCTGTGGATCCCTGCACACCGAATGCAGATGAAAACTCCCAGATTCCAGGATGCCCATCTTGGACCTGTTCAAAACAGGAAACACTGAAAATGTGAGAAGCTCCAAAAGGAAAAAAAAACACATCAACATGTTCGATCTTGTTGTTTTTTCCATTCGCCAAGACTAAAAGTTGTAAATACCTGTCAGAACATGAAAATAAGCTTTGAGTTTCTTAGAAAGAACAACCAGAGTATGTTAAAGCGGCGGTTAGAGAGAAGCACCGAGGGAGCTTAGGTAGGTTTACAGAAGTTAGCTCGCTGCTTAGCAAATTAGTTTAGCTTAGGGGGAAGAAATGTCAGCTGACCAGTTTGAGCCGTTTGTCTTAAAAGAGCCGAACAAAAATTCAACGGCCCTTTTATATCTGTGTCGAGAAAAATGAGAAGATAGGGCGCATTGATAAAAGCAATGAAATAATCCCCAGAGTGAGCGCCGCACCTTTCGCCTCGCAATCGGCGCAGTACTTGTTGTCTTCCTCCCTCAGCATTTTGGACAGGATGGCCTGGTGCTGCTCGTTCAGTTTCTGGGCCTTCTCTCTCTCCGAGCGGGTCGTCATGTTCGCGGCTTCGCTGGGACTTGTTTCAATTAGAGAAACGGTACTTTGTTCGGTTGTCAGTGAAGAGAAGTTTCACGGTAAAATATCATAATCGGAGGGTCTGAAAGCCTCCGACTGGGAAATGAAACACCCGGAACCGGAATCTCCTCTCCGCCCACAGGAATTCTGGACCTCACGAGGCGGAGGCACCGGATTGGACGAGAGGCCTGACGTCGTGTGACGTAGGCTGTACGCAGTATAAAGCAGATATAAGGTTAGAGATGATAAAATAAAGAAAAACAAAACGTTTTCTTTTCTTTCTCCAAAAAATGTTTATATTTTACTGCTAAAATACATAAATAATTAAGTGTGCATATGCACCTCCCATTGCTTCTTTATTTTTTTTTATGTTCACTTCATGATTGTAACACTGTTGGAAGAGACTAAAAGGAAACACTCTATCTATTTCATAATTTTATATACACCCTTGTTTATAGATATTGGAGATTGGCCTGTTTTTCCAGTGTAGTCCTGTTTATCTGACTGTGACTGGCTGGATGTGCTCTCTTCATCCTCAAACGGGAGCTGCCTTGGAGCTTGTCTGCCTGGCTGTGTGTTTAGTGGACAGGGCCGCCTTTTACAGTTGCTTATTGTATCTCTGCTTCTGTCTCCTTGAACCCCAGTCAGCCTCGGCAGATTGCCGCTTACACTGACCCTGGTTCTGCTGGAGGTTTTCTTCCTGTTAAAAGGGAGTTTTTCCTCTCCACTGTCGCTACAAGCATGCTTAGTGTGAGGGATTACATTTGAGTCAATGAGTCGATGCAATCAACTGGTTTTCCTTAGATAGAAAACTGAATCAATTTGACTGTATGATCTGGGTGAACTGTAAAGTGCCTTGAGATGACATGTGTTGTGAATTGGCGCAATAGAAATTTACTGAATTGAAAGGGAATTATATTGATTCATTTGACTGATTTGATTTGGAACTTGGGGTCTCTGAATAACTAGTGATAGTTTGAACAGCAAACATGGAGTTATGGGTTTAGTAACAACTTTAAGGTTTATTAGCATTATGGGATTGAAGTGTGGAGAAATTCCCTGTCAACCAACGCATTCAAATAGAATAGAGCAACTGTGGCAAAAATGTGGAGTGCTGGAGGCAAATCAAGTAGGCAAATTACAGCATAAAGGTGCACACAGTCAAGACATACATGAAAAAGAATGAACAAAAATTAAAGTTAAAACAGACTAAAGAGGAAATGGAAAAATACTTAGGAAAAAAAAGGTGTTTATTAAAATTCACACATTCAGTTTAAATACATGTCGTAGATTACCCCCCAGAAAACACCCAAATTACACAAAAATAGTGTACATTTTCTGTGTCATTTTTTTTAACAATACATATTTTTTATGACATTGTAGCTTATGCTGTTTGCAAAAGACACTAAGAAAATAGTCTGTCTACTGATATCCAGAGCAAATCTGTCTAATAAAGCCTGACCCTCAATGTGCAGCAACAAGAAATTAAGGGGCTTGACTGTGTTGTTCTTTAATCTATAGATGGGGGAAAAAAACAACAAAAAAACAGTCACTCTTAACACATTCTCTGGAATATTATTTAAAGGAAAAGCAAGTTTCTTTGTATAGCACAAAACAATTCAAAATGCTTTACATGAATTAGGTAATACAAAAGAAGATAAAATGAAAAAAAAATAATAATAATTGTAGAACTAAAAAAATAACTGGACCACAACCATAAACTAAGGTAATAATACATGTTAGCAGAGGTTGTGATGTATTTTAATGGAACACGTAATTTAATGCAGTTGACTTGTTCTTGTACACCAAGGAGGGGCCCAGCATGAAAAGTTTGGGAACCACTGCTTTAAATCATATATGAAAGATCATTTGAAATTCTTTTAAGATTGAAGTTTTCTTTCAAACAGTTGATAATGGACAGTCTGATAAATAACATTGCTTTTTATCACTTAGTGCAGCCAACTAATTTATAGTTCCAGTATTCTATTGGCAAAAGACTGGGTACACCCAGGACCGGTTGCCACACACAACACAGAGACAACCATGCACTCATCTAGGGACAATGTAGAGATGCCAATTAACCTAACAGTCATGTCTTTAGACTGTGAGAGGAAGCCGGTGTATCTGGAAAGAACCCAACATGCACAGGGAGAATATGCAAACCCTGGGCCATGAATTAAACCCAGGACTGTCTTACTGCAAGGCAACATTGCTAATAACTCCGCTACTGTGCTGTCCTACAAGCAAGCATTACAAACTAATACATAGAACGCATCAAAAAGTGCCATGACTTGAGACAAACATTTGGTTTAATGGTTTCCCATTTTACAGGCTTAAGCAATATTTAAAAAAAAAACATCCTTTTCTTTTTTATTTAGCCTACTTGTCTCCCTTAAATAATTAATGAGTTATCAAGCAAAGATTTTAAAAAGTCAAGGTAAGAAACAGAATGTTAAGAACCCAAAAAATAAAATGGACACACTGTACACATGAATGGGCGTCTTATAGCTTTAGATCCGAGTTTAAGAATTTTTATCTGCCAAAAACCAGTAAAGAGCAGGTTTCTTTCTGGTCTGTATCAAGTTAGGAACAACATAACATTTGCAAGTTGTTATGCTTTGATCTTTCAGCAAAACAAGCAGATTCATATGTACTTAATCTCCATTGATGCAAATGACAGATATTTTACACTACTTTGTTTGACACTGACAACTTTCACTATATTTTACAATAGTCATAATAAATGCTAAATTAAGAGCTATCCAGCAGACTCCAACAATCCTGGCTAAAAGAAGGATTCATATCTGACTAGTGCAACAAAAAGCAGCTACTGCTCAGAGAATATCATGCACATCAGGGATAGATTAGGTTAATGACAATTATTTTATGTCCTTTAAGCTGGAAACTTACTCATTAAAACAGAGTCACTTTAAATACAGAACATCTAAAATACACAGAACTAAAGTCACAAGAAAACATTTTTATTAATACATGTATAAAGAAAAAGGTAAGTCTCTTTATTCATTAGATTATTGCTAAATAAGGGCAAAGCTCCAACAGATGTAGTAAAAGACAAGAAAAAAATGTGTTGCTTTTTAGAAGATAAGCAAAAGTAATTCAGAAGAAGGTTTCCAGACGGATCTTCAAGTTATTCTCCTGGTGCCTCACTGCGATCCCATATCGAAGCAGCATCTCCACATACGGCGGCCAGAAGGTGTGATCCAACGTAACGTAAGGGTCATGCGGTGTGTTTATGACCTTGTTCATAAGAACCTGCAGATGATGTCAAGATAGAGTGGTGTTTAGGCTGCAGATTGTCAGGTGACAACATGCAATGCTCTGAACCGAATCAGCTGTGGTCTTTACATTAGATCTTCTCGATTTTATAACCAAATTATTTGTATCCATCTGTACCGATTTTGTAAGGATGTCTAGTTGAAACTAGAAACATCTCCCAGAAAGTTTGTTATGGTTACCAAAAACCTCTAAGGTGCAGCTTGATGAGTGAAAATAAAACTAGATGTTTAGATCATTTAGTTTTTAAATACAAAAATTTAAAACATAAAACACAACCTGAAGCACTCCGATCTTCAGTGTCTAAATGGTTGCATTATGAAGCAAAGGTATGACGCTATATGAAGCTACTGTTGCCTATTGACAGGAACATCTCACTGGATTTATGCATTGTTTTAGCTGGCTTTTACACAAATAACTTTGGGCTCATTCTTACAACCTTTAAGCTAAAGCAAATCTTGAAATCTTGATAAAACTTGTGTTTCATTTAGTTCATAACCTCTATGATTAAAAAAGACACAGGAGAGAGTTCCTCCTTTATCCTATAAATGGACTAAAGATAACAGAACCTTTATATAATGAGGGGCTGACTGGACCTCTTCATAATGCTGAAACTCAGGATTTCATTTTTTTTTGCCTTTAAGAAGAAAGACTCCAAAAGAATCCAACCCAGGAATTTTTTTTTAAAAAGCGTTGACAACTTTTGATTGGTTGTTGGTCCCTGTGAGACCAGTTACCAGCTTAACAATGCCACAGTCAGAGCTTGTGTAAAAAAACCACGGCTGCAACTAACGATTATTTCCAACAATTATATAAATTGATTAATCTGTCGATTATTTTCCAATGAATCCATTAATTATATAATAGCAAAAGGTTCCTTAAAGAACACTTTTTAAGAAATTAAACCAGGTGAGACTAAAACTTTTCGACTTGAGAAGCTATGGATAGGCTATAATGACAGATGAAAATTATAATAATTATCTTAAGTGCAAAATCTTTACATATATTTTTTACAATCTTGGTATAGTTACTGCTGTAAGTGGGTTGCTCTGTAAGATAAAGGCATGTTTAGAGTCTCTATTGTTTTCTGTTGATGATTAATCGATTACTAAATGAGTTGACTATTATTTCAATAATTGATTAATCACAATTAATCGTTTCAGTGCTAAAAAAAAAATTTAGAACTGGTGCTAATTCAGACCCAAGCATAAAAAAATTGGAATTTGAAAGCTCCCAGATGTCAGAAATACGCTTTGGAGGTTAGAAAAGCTGCTACTCATATCAACAGTAGGAACACTTTTTTACTTTGGATAAAATAGTTCTTTAAAATAACATTAACCCTGTGTAACATTAGGTCAATCAAACATGTGCTGCTTTTTAATGTTTATATGTCTAGATGTTTCAAAGCTGTTTCTATGTAAAAACACTATTTCCTTTGCAGTCTATTTTAATTTCAACCTGACTTTTAGTGGAAAAACTTGGTCACCAAAGCGATTGCATTTCTCTGGCTTTCACTGATTCGAGCTGCAAAGTAAATGGAATGCAGCCTCAATACCAGCATTAGTTTTCTCTCAAATAGATGGCGGCAAAGACAGTCAGTCCTAAAAAGCTTTATTTCACGTCAGGAAGCTGAGCTTTGTCCATTAACCAAGCTTGATTCTTATCAAACTCCTACTTTAATTTGAACTATTCCCTTTGCTTTTTCCAAATACATTAAATGAGTGAGAGAAATGGCATGTGAAGCTAATAAGTATGCCCGGCATAAATGGTGACCATGGAGAACCTTTAAGGTATAGTGGAGGATTTCATTTTTCCGGATAGATCATCTAAATAAGTGGCCCTCCTAATTGTCAATCATTCTGGTAATATGTTTACATAAGGCCGTCCTACATGATCGCCCCGTTAACTATCTTTTTCTGCGCATGCGCACTTTCAGCCATATATGTGTGGTGAGCTACGTTTTCAGACAGTCATTGAAGCTCACCTTTCTCACTGTGGTTCTTTGAAAATGGCCGAGGGTCATAAGAGAAAAAGTGTCTACGAAGTGCATGATTATACGGGAAGCGAAAGTTAGCAATTCTCTGTCCAAACGGTTGGTTATAAAGCCCTCTATATAATCCCCGCTCTATATAGGGATTGAGGGGTTAGACGAACGTTCGTGTACAGCAAGCTTGTCTGAGCTATGAGAACAGCAACTTTTAAACAGAGCGTGCATGAGGAGAAATGGGCTCTGCATGCTCATGCACACGTTTAATAGGCGTTCCCTCTAGGGAGCAGGTACAGGGTTGTGCATGTGCATTTTTCTTTATTAAGTGGAGAGGGCGGAGCGCGAAATCCTCCACTACACCTTTAAGGGCTGCTTATAACAATAATGTGACATCTGTGTAGTTCATGTAGTGCAGGTGCCCACCTCCAGGATTTCACTCAGGGAAATAAGGTCCTCAGTTATCTCATGGGTAATGCTCTGAAAAGAAAAACGACTTTGGTAAAAGTGATTATAAGAAACAAACGCTGGTATTAACACTACACAAGGATTCTGCACCTTCTTCCTTTTGCTTGCGCTGGACTCCTTCTTAGGGAGAGGAATATGCGTCTCCAGGACATCTCCAAGGGTCTCCAGCAGCTTCTCCTGATAAACCTTTATTTTCTGGATTTTGGCTTTGGTGTCCAAAATGATGCTGGATGGGAGGGAAGGAAGGACCGTAAATCACACTCCATACTCTCCAAGCTGCCTACGCTCCCTGAATTTCTCTCCCAGTTTGCCGTGACATGGCCATTGTACTCACTTATGTTCAGATAATTTCTCCCTCTCCAGTCGAAGTCGTTCAATATGATCACTGGCGGCTAATAGCACCTGTTTCTTTTCTTCTAGCCATTTCTGCTCCCTGTAAGGCAGGAGGTGAAACAAAGTATAAAGTCACAGTAAGGTCTGGTCCATTCAGTCTAGGAAAACATTTATATGCTCTGATGAAGCAGAAAGTAGTGAAGAAAAGCTTGCAGGGTAATGGAAAGGTCACACACAGCTCTTTAGTCTCTCTCAGTTTGTCTCTCTTGGCTTCACAACAAGAAACAACCATCTCCAGTTCAGAGCAAAGCTTGAGCATCTGCAGAGAAAAGAAAAAATTAATATTATTTTCAGAACAGGGGGGATTGCTTTAGCATTTTTTCAGGAGTAGTGGTTTTATGAAAGAGCACACCTCGTCTTTTCCAGCTTGAAGTAAAATTTCTGAATTGGATGCGAGCACTGTGGGGGAGAGTGAAACATTTTATATATAAAAAATTTAATTTAGACAAATTTATCACCACAAATATTTTTAATTTATTCACTAAATTTAACATACGGAACCTTGATATTAATATAATATGTAAGCTAGCAGCATTCCTGCGGATTGTGATGTCAGCTTTTAAGTTGTTAAAAATACATCTGCGTTGTAAATTAGTAGCAGCGGGAAAAAGGAGGACTTACAGCTCGGCTCAGTAGACGACCACTGCTTCAGCTCAGCATCAGTGGCTATCAGCCTGTTCACTGACTGGTGGTCACCATGATAAAACACAATGGAAAACAGTCAAGTTTAATACACAATCATAAATGCAATAAAAAAATAAACAAACAAAAAAAGCAGCTAAATAAACCCTGTAAACTCTGGCTGAAACTTTAATGGGTAAGTATTTTCCATTCAAGCATGGGCCTGTTACCACTGGAGTTATAACATAGGTTAGGAGTTTAACACCACTAAATATCATAGCACAGATAAAATGCAGAGGAAAGGTGACATTTTTTTCCCCAATGGTTTAAAGCCCATAATAAACAAAGAACCAGTTTTCTTGTATTTTGCTTTGCAGGTCAGCAGGCTGAAAGAAGGCTATTAAAGTGCAGAGCAGAATTATTCAGTGTTTCTCTTTTTCCATGTTTAGGTATGTTACAGCGTTATTCCAAATGGTAATAAATTCACGTCCACACACAATACCCATCATGACAATGGCAAAAACAATTTTGTTGTTGTTATTATTAAAATTTATAACAAACTGAAAAGTTTTTCCAGCTTCTGATCAAAAAAAAAATATTGATCCATCTATGGCAACGGTTTCAGCCTCAAGTCTTTTTTGAGTAAGAGGCCACAACCCAAATATGTCTGACTTCAGGGAGTTTTTGTCCCATTCTAACCACCTACAGTAGAAGGGATGGTGGATGTCAGGACAGAGCAGGAATGACCAAAAAATAGTAAAATAAAAGATTCTGTCAAAATAAAAGATTCTGTCAAATATCACAATACTAGATGAGACAATGTTTGTATCACTTCAAAAGAAAGCCTAATGGATCTTAAAGGTAAGGCATGTATAGGGAAACATCCGTTTCATTTTATTACTTTTCTATAACTTTTAATGGTGGTCTGCTGAGAGCGTCTGGAGAGCCCAGAGTTAGGGATGTATTCACCTCCCATATCTGGGAGAGCTTCTGACTGGGCTTCTGAGTGGACCGTGTTCGTTGATGCAGTCCGTAGTCATGTTACATACATAGTTAGGGTTCTTTGTGTAAATACTGCAAAACTTGTATTTTTTCCTGAGGCTATTCCAAATCTTTGTCAAACATAAACTTCAATCTTGGGATTTAAGGAGTAATATTTAACACCATAGCTCCCACTGCCTGCTTCATTTTGACGTTCCATTTTCAGCATCTAACAAGCTTATTTGTAAACAAAACCCAACATGCTGTACCCCTTTAGACTCAGGTCATCTTCAAGAAATCAACCATCTACTCAACTGTAAGCAAACTATACTCCACAAACACCAGCAACTAATAATCTTTCATCAACTTACAACTCATAATTTTACCTTCTTTCCTTGTTTTCGTCTTCTGGCATTCCAAAGCATGTTCTATCCTGGCATAAATGGGACATAACTGTCCATAACACTCCACAAAAAAGTCATATCCAGTTGTATTCCCATAAAATAATATCACTTGTCATATTAATCCACAACATAGTTTTTTTTCCCCCATGTAAGAATAAAAATATCGGGATAAAAGCTCATTTTTTTGTGTCTACAGACGTGCGTCCTCCATTTTATATATACATGGGATAGAACACTAATCTGTCTGCTCCCAAACTCAAGCATAAGTTGAGGCTGAAAAAAATCTGATTAATCCTGATTAATCAATTATTGAAATCTTTGTCAACTAATTAAGTAATCAATTAATCATTAACTGGAGCATAAAGACTCTAAAACATGCATTTGGCTGACAGAGTGACCCATTTAGAGCAGTAATTGTAAGAAACTGTAAAAATATATATCAATATTTTGCATCTAAGATAAAAAAGAACTCCTCAAGGGGAAAAGTTTGATTTTGACTTGGTTTAATTCTGTAAAAAAATCTTCTTTATGAAACCTTTGTCTATCCGATTATTAATAGAAAAATGATAGATAGATTAATCGACTAGCAAAATAATTGTTATTTGGAGCTCTACATAAGTTCCTTTCTCAGTATCCAAAATGTGAAACATCCTGCACGTAAGAAACATCGCCCCAAGGTAGTCTCTGCGCAGCTGGAACTCCACAACTCAGAGACTGATCAAACTTTTATTGACATATTTTTTTTAGCAAATCAGATAAGTATCGCAATGAAGTACGGGAAGTGTAGGGGTGGGCTGAAAAGATAGCGCTTAATAATGTGTGGAAGGAGTAAGAAAAGAGGAGAAATAAATGGACACATACAGAAATGCAAACTCTGAAGGCTGAACAATTAAAATATATTAAAAAGGAAAGTTTTATATCCAGTTAAAGCTTAAATGAAAATAATCTAGTTTGACACTTTTAGTGCCAATTTTAGTCCATTCTGCCAAATGGACCTTTTGCATACAAAAAGGTTAACTGTTTTGCAATGTTTATGACTAGAGATCTGAAATTGGACATAAGTGCAGTGAGTTGGAGAGGTAAACTAAGATATATACCCTAGATACAGAATATAAAAAATTGCTTTTAGCTGAACAAATAATAATAGTATAGAAACTCTCCTGAATATACACATTCCAATTTTCTTTGACTCCCGAGAGTTCCCAAATGTTAGTTTATATTCCACACCCCACTCCTCTACAAACCTTTAGATGAAATAATACTTTTTCAATGGGGCACATTTTACTTTTAGTGAAAATGTATAAACAAGGTGTACAAAATGTGTAACAATAGAAGGTTGCAATAGAATTGTAAACATAACAAAAACACTGTCTGACATGTCTATATTAATTTAAATTGTACTGTATTCTTCAGATTAATGGAGGAATTTCAACAAATGAAAAAAAATCTTTTTATTCATTTTGAATTCAGTCCTTGTTTGTAAATAAGTTAATGATCGAATAGCCAAACGTTCCTTAAAGAATATTTGCTTACCAATTGGTCTCACTTCTCCCTGAAGTTGGCCTCGAATCACAGTTAAAGGAGCATTTTATACAACTCCAGTCTGCCACATCATTACATCATACATGTTTGTAAATGAGGAGACATCCATGGCTCCAGCTATAAAAAACTATTACTGTGTCCCAGATAAAAGCAAAGACCTCCATGTTAAGAAAGATCCTCTCTGTGCCACCATTTCATTTCCAAATCTACATAATGAACATGATAATTGTAAATCCTGACAGAAGTCCTGTCCTGATTAGATAAACTACTTGGGAAAACATTAGTTTTTGACACATACCAGGCAGGTAATATTAGGGTTTAACAGAGTCGCACATCATCATTAAAAATAATTCTAACAGTACATCTTGTGCAAAACATTACCTAATTGTTACTCAAAGCAATACTCTCCTCTCTCACTGTGCAATAACACATGCTAACTACTGTGTAATCTGTGTCATTTTTCACTTATAAGGTCAGTACATCTCTGCAGTACAAGTGCAATAATCCAAGTCAACTACTGGGTAGTCTTTCCTTAGCTCTTAACTGTACAGATATCTTTATATCCACAGAAAACATTTTCTAGGACATTACAACTTTTTTCTTTTTATATTGCCTGTTGTATTTTCTGTTTTAATTGCATCTGGCTTCAGTTGTTTCTACTCTACATGAGCTACACAGGGAAGTGTCAAACTTTTAACATTTGTGAAAGGTTTAGAGGAACAGTCAAGCTGACTGCCTGACTTTCAGACCCCTGCTTTCCTGGTTGAGTTAGTCCCTATAATAAAATCAGCGTCTTGGGAAAGAGCTCCAAAGTGCCATCTGCTTTAGTTAGGGTTGAAAACTAAATTTAATGTGTTTTCTGAGAAAAAAAAAGAAAATGAAAAGGATGAAAACATTTAGCCACTTAACCTGTTCCTGTGGATTCTCACAGCTGTCTGCTTCACACAGTATGATTTCATTCAGCAACTGCAACACAAACACATATTGAATGCAGATTTATTATGTTCGGATTGGAATCAAAAGATGTCTTATCTTCTCTATTTATGCTGACTCATGGAATCAAAAGATGTCTTATCTTCTCTATTTATGCTGACTCGTTGAATCAAAAGATGTCTTACCTTCTCTATTTCAGCAAACTGCTCCTCGCAGAGCTCCAGCAGCTCAGACTGTGCAGCTTTTGAGAGGTGAGCTACAACCTCTCCTTCTGCCCCTTCCTCAACCTGAGGGAGAAAACATCACCCAAAACAGGGAGATTATACTCTCACTTTGAGACACGTTACTTTTAAATAAGAACAGTTCACTAGTCTGAAGATCGGCCGATATTCTTTGTTAGAAAATACAGCGAAATACGCGGAGAAAATTAAACATTAACATCGATGGAATTGCACACGATGGATTAAATCTTACCATTTTCAATAGACCCAAACGTATTTTTCCCCCCAAAACAATCAAAACTATGGATATCCGTGTTTGTTTCAAAATACCGCCAACTTTGATTACGTCACGACGTAATGACGTAATGATGTCTGCGACGCATGGTGTTGGTGTCGCTGATGCTGCGCAAAATTGCGCAACCGGCTGAAAAAATGTAAAGAAAAAAGAAAATGTGTGTATAAAGACTACAAATTCAATGGCTCGTGATGTTTAACACGTGTTCACAAAATGTCTTAAATTCTTTAAAGGTTAAATGGCTTTTACGGAAAAAAGTGAAGTCATTTCAACCCACTGCACAGGTCAGAGATGCCCCAAAAATCGGGATAAGTTTGACTCGATGTTTACAAGCGGCCAGAAATAAAAAAGCTATTACTAAAATGTTGCTATTTACACAGGGAAATTAAGTTAACCTAGCTGCATAGATTCCTGGGAGTATTTCATTTCTACATTGTATGATATTGTATGTATTTATAAAATATATATATATATATATATATATATATATATATATATATATATATATATATATATATATTCACTGTAATTATCAGCAACAAAAATATTAAATATGTTTTAACACTGATGATGTAATAATTGATACTAATTCTCACTTGACAGGAAAATATATTACTTTTCTTTAAAGAAGAAGGGAATCATCCTCTAAAGAGTAATGTACTTTTTGATTGTTTTTAGAAAAATATGCGTTTTTTTGTATATTAATGATAGATTTTGCAAGAAATACTTTATCAAACACCTGTTTAACGCATTAATGCTTATATAGCATGTTGTATAAAATGTAATACCATTTTGTTTAAATTATATCAATTGCTATTTCTTGCTGCCTTCTTGTGAACATAGGTTTTCTACACTGTACTTGTTACTTTTACTTTAGTAGTATTATTGTGAGGTAATATCATTGCTCTCAGCTGAGGAAAGATTTAAGCAGCTCTATCCATCTGGATTAACTTTACCAAATCTAGATCATGCTTGTTTTACCCAATAATACAGCTGATGCAGACACACAGTTAACTTTTAAATGAACATTTGTGATTTTGTTTCTCTACATGTTACTCTATCTGAGTCTTCTGGAACAAGGTATTCACTTTAAACAGTAAATACTGTCACTAGAAGCACACACTTTGTTCTAACACACATAGATATTAATTCAGTATTAGTTTATTAAGGTTTATGTTAAGTGTTGAATTTTTAAGAAGTGTCTATTCTGTCTAAATTTATTATTTAGCAACTATGTTATTTATGTGCATTAGTTTGTCATTCTAGACTTTGTTCTTTATGTCTCTGTCTGTCTGATAATTTGCATCAGGTAGGCAATCAGATGGTATGATCAGTTAATAGCAGCCATCAAAAACACGAAATAAGGAATACCACTCTTACTGAATGACAATTTTCTGGTACTCTATCGACCTCTGTATATAACTGAGCTTGCCAGCATTGTTTTATTCATGTTTGATCAGAAATCCTGTGATAACTGTAATCTACGGTCGACCAGCAGGGGTCTCTGTTTCAATTTTTGCGGCAGCTAAAATGAGTCAAACATGTTCTTTTATGTTTGTTAAACTAATTTCTATCTGATAATTAACATAGATTAATAGCTGACTTATTTTTGTCTGATTTTATTTATTCATTTATTTTTGTTATTTTTTGATACGAAAGTTATTATTTTTATTTCATAGTCCCCCCCCCATCAGTCTTCATATGATGAGGTAGTACAAATAATTATAATAATGATGATAATATATTTATATCATAGTAAATTCTAATATGTTATATATTATATAATGAATATATATTGTATGTTATTATTATTGTTGCTAGTGTTGCTATTATTATTGTGAAATATTAACACATTTATGTAAATAATAAAAAAAAATACATAAAGAAATCAAGCATTATGATATTCGTTCATTTAGAGTTGCAAAAATAAGCTTGGATTCTAAATATTTTGAAAAAAAAAAGGAAAAGAAAAGAAAAGAAAAAAACATAACTTCCATTATGTGTCTTTAATCTGTTGTTAACGTTACATTCTAGTATTAAAATATTTTCTGCTTATTAAAAAGATATATATAATTATAAATACATATTTTGTATCTCCATTAAAGTGTTATTTATTCCCTCAAAGATTCTAACCTCATATTCTAATTTAGGCCTACTCACATCCTCCTCTGGATGTTTAAACTCAGAGCCAAGAGAGCAGGTTTGCAGCATAGGAGCCTGAGCCAGGATAAAACCATATCCGTTTTTCATGTTTCTCCAGCTTCCGCCTCTGAAATCACACAGCTTTGATTATTTGAATGATCAACAAGAATTTGATTAATATGCAAATTTCTAAAGGAACCGTTCCATTTGAGCCCTCAGCGCAGCCTAATTAATCAACAGTTAAAGGAAATTAATACATACATCAATTCTGTCAGGAACATGCTTAGGTCAATCGCCCGTAAAATTGAAGTTTGAAGTATTAACTGGCTCCACAGGAAGGCCATGATTAAAACTCTACATTTTTGGCTCCATTTAGAAATATAGAGTGCACAGTGCAGAAGGAAAAAAAAAAAAACCTTAAGGTTATAATCAATATGATAATAATAAGAATACCAATAATACTAATAATAATTTACAGTTTTTCTCCACACTATACTTTTAAGTCTGGTGGAAAGTACAGAACAATCAATCAAATTGTACTTTACACTTTCACCTGACACTGCTTTCCACAAGGTGCAGAAAGAGAGAAGGAGAGAGTATAAAAAGGGGAGGGGGGACAAGATGAAAAGAGAGAGGGCAGTACTATTGTTTCAGTAGGGACTCATGCATCAAACTTCAATTTTCCGGCCGATTGAAGTAGTGATTTTTCCCCTCTATCTTGAAGTGAAATACAGAAATACACTTAAGACCTCCAGATTAATTACCACGAAGTGGTCCCTCAGACTGTAGTATTACTTATCACCGGGACCGCCTGACAAGCACTCATAAAATAAGCAAGTGAAATCCATAAACTTAGCTTGCCTTAACATGCTCTCCCTTCATAAATAGGCTGGATTCAAGACATTATATGATCTATCTATCTATCTATCTATCTATC